CTTGGAGAGCTGGTCTGATGCTGGTAAATTCTTTCAGGTTTTGTTTATCTGAGAATGTTCTTGTCTTCTCTTCTCATATGAAAGACAATCTTATCAGGTACAGTATTCTTGGTTGAAATTGTTTTTTGCTCAACACTTTGAATATAGTTTCCAATTCTCTCCTTGGTTGCATTGTTACCCTGATGGGATATCCTTTGTAGGTAACTTGACATTTCTCTCTTGCCAACCTCAGTATCTTGTCTTTGTCTGTGGTTTTGGTCAATCTGGCTATAATGTGTCTTGGAGAAGATCTTGGGTTGATTCCCTTGGGTTGAGGTCCCTTGTATTTCTTGGGCCTGGATCTTTAAATGCTTCTCTAGGTTTGGAAAGTTTTCTTCCAGGATTTCATGGAATAGATTATCAATGCCCTTATGAGTCTCTTTGCCTTCTGGGATACCAATTATCCGGATGTTTGGACGTTTAATGATATCTAGTATTTCTCGTATGTTATTCTCACTTATGGGGCTATTTTCTGTCTTCATGGTGGATTTTTGTAGTCCAGCAATTCTGTCTTCTACATCTGAGATTTGACTTTCTGTATGATCTAGTCTGCTTCTAATACTTTCAAGGCAGGTTTTGACTTCATGTATTGCAGCCTTCATCTCTAACAGCTCCATTTGATTCCTTTTTATGGTGTGTATTTCCTCTTTTAGATCATGCAAGAACTTCTTTACCTCCTGGAACTCGTTGGCTCTTTTCTCCTGCCTCTCCTGAACTCTTACGGAGTTCATTGTCTCTTTTCTCTTGCACCTCTGTTAGCTTTGTCACTGTGAATATTCTAAAGTGTTTTTTTTTTTAAAGACTTAATTAACTTATTATTTTTTTTTTGGAGAGGTTTTCACTATAGGGTGTGTGTGCTCGTCAGACAGACAGAGACATAGAGACAGAAAGCAAGAAATCACCCCCCAGGGGGCATGGTCACGCCGCAATCCCTTCTCCATTTTCCTCTCGGGATCGTGGGCACGCACGCACACGCGCCCGGCGTGAGTTTTAAGCCACCGGGTCTGGGACGCGAACCGCAGTCGACTACGTGGGAGTCCAGCGACACAGCCATTACACTAACTGCTGGTTCCCGTAATTAACTTATTTTAATGTGACCAGAAAGGGACAGAGTGAGAGAGAGAGGGGGAAATTGAGAAAGCAAGTCACCAGGTCTGGGACTTGAACCATGATCAGCCATGTGGGAGCCCAGCACCTTTAATCACCATCTGCTGGCCCTTATTCTAAAGTCTTTATCAGACATTTCTACAAGACATTTCCTTGAATTCATTTGTACTGTCTGCAGATGAAGAGGGTTTTTTTGTTTTGTTTTTCCCTCGAGGGAGAGGTATTTTCTTGGTTTCTTATATTTCTTGTGCCTCTGCAGTGATTTCTGGTCATCTGACGGTTATATGTTTCTTCCTCATTTCTAGAAGTTCAATCTGAGCGTTCAGAGGCACGCAGGAGGAGGTGATCTGCGATCTCTCTGCTGTTCTGCTTTTCTCCCTTTGTGCAGCAGATTCAGTGAAAATTCAGGAATATGTTGACCCTAATAGTATTCGGATATTTGGCAATGGTTCACTTAGACCTGTCTAGACACTCAGTGCGTCGAGGCTGAGCAGCAAAGTGATGAGGTAAGAGAAAAAGGGAAAGAAAACAAAACATAGAGAAGAGAAAAAAAGATTATTAATATTTTTTTAAAAAACAAAAATGAAGGGACCAGCAGTTAGCGTAATGGCTATGTCGCTGGACTCCCATGTAGTTGACCGTGGTTCAAGTCCCGGACCCGGCGGCTTAAACTCATGCCGGGCGCGTGTGCATGTGTGCCCAAGATCCCAGGAGGAAAATGGAGGAGAAGGGATTGCGGCGTGGCCATCCCCCCTGGGGGGTGATTTCTAGCTTTCTATCTCTCTGTCTCTCTCTGTCTGTCTGGCGAGTGCACGCGCCCTATAGCGAAAACCTCTCCAAAAAAAACCCCCAAAAAATAAAAATGAAAACCACTAGTACAGCATGCTCGCACTAGTTCTCAGCTCCCATGGAGGAATTAGTCTTTTGAAGGCCTGCCTGTTTTGCCTCCCCTAAATGGACGGCAGAAAGGGAATTATTAGCAAGATAAAGGAGGATCTGAGAACCAAGAAAATATTTTACCTTAAACATTTTTTTTAAAAAAGAGGAAAAGACAGAGACAGAGACAGAGAGAAGGGTAGAGGTGGCCCTGCCACTTGAGAAGGAGGTCTGAAGGGTGAATTCTCAGCATAAGATCTTCATTTCTCTTAGTCCCTTAAAGCACTAGCTTTCAGCTCCCATGGAGGAGTCCTTTTTTTTTTTTTTGGAGAGATTTTTTTGTTACAGGGCGCATATGCTCACCAGTGAGACAGAGATAGACAGAAAGCAAGAAATCACCCACTGGGGAGTATGGCCACACCCCAGTCACTTCTCTTTTGTTCTCTGCTCAGGATTTTGGGCACCCGTGCACACACGCCCAGTGTGAGTTTGAAGTCGCCTGGTCCAGGACTTGAACCGCAGTCGACTACATGGGAGTCCAGCAATGCCACCATTACGCCATCTGCTGGTCCCCCGAGTTTTCTTTCTTTTTTTTCCCCTAGAGATTTTTGCTATAGGGTGTGTGTGCTCACCGGAGAAACAGAGACAGACAGAGAGCAAGAAATCACCCCCCAGGGGGGATAGTCACATCACAATCCCGTCTCCATTTCTCAGGTTCTTGGGCACATATGCACAAGCACCCAGCTTGAGTTCTCAGTTGCCAGGTCTGGGACTCATACTGCAGTGGACTCTCTATGGGAGTCCAGCAACATAACCATTATGCCATCTGCTGGTCTCCTGAATTTTCTTTTTTAAGATCTGCTCCCAAGCATCCTTTGGCTTTGGTTGTGCTGTAGGGCAAGCGGGGTTGCCTCGAAGAGTCAGGAGGAGTGGAAGAAGTGCCCCGGGGTTGCAGAGCTTTTGAGGCCTCGGCCCCAGGGTTGGCCACATGGGCATCTTTGTTTACCTGAGCAGCAGAGGGGTTTCCTGAAGTGAGCTGTTGGGAGTGGCTAGGGCCAGCATGGCAGAGGGGCAGTGACCAGGGCTTGTCCTGTGCCGGGGTGGCCCTGGGGCCTTTAGAGAGAGTAAGCACACCTGGATGGAGACTGTGCTGGTGGGGAAGGCTCTCCTGGGTCTCCAGGGACATTGAGGAACGGCTGAATCTTGCCATAGCAGAAGCCTGGGGCAAGGTGAGAGAAGGGGCCCCTGATGAGAGATGGGTGTAGGTCTCACCCAGTCCTCGTCGGTCCCAAGGGGCTAGCACTAGCTTTCTTTTCAGGGGTGGGACAGCTCTGGGACACAGACGAGAGGACACAGCTGGGGCTAAGGTGGCAGTGCCCACTCAGGCCCCCTCTCCCCAGCCAAGGCCCTCCACAGAGGGCCAGCTCCACACAATGGGCACCGTGTCCTTTCCACACTCGCAGGCTCTGCCCAGTGGTCGGGATGAGCAGAGCGACCCCGGCACCAGGGAAGGCACTGAGTTGGGTCCCCCGGATCTGGGGCCTCTGGTGCCCAGCCCTGCCTGGACATCCTGCAACTGACACCTCGCTCACAGGCTGGGAAACTGGACCTGGGCCCAAGTACAGAAGCTGTACTTGGAGCTGCCCAGGCCAGGCCTGTGGCGGTGTCTGTTCTAAGCATGCCACTGGGCACGTGGTGAGCTGCAGGCCACAAGCAGGTGGGGTGGACATGAGGGCGGGTAGGGCCAGAGCAGCCAGGAGCCTGTGGAGGGAGCCTCTCCATCGTGGCCGAGCCAGTCTGTGGGTGTGGATCAGGGGCGCAGCCAGGGGCCCAGGGCCTTGTCTCCCTACGGAACCAGCCTGGAGGACAGTTGGCCCAGCTGCTCTGGGCGCCTATGGGCGCCACGTGTGGAGGTGCCGTGTGCCTCCTGGGGAGGGGAGGGAGCTAGCTGGGAACAGGGTGTCCTGCCGAGGCCCAGCACACCCAGCACTGGGAGGTGTGAGTGTCGGCCTCGCTGCTCCTTGACGGCAAGTGACCAGATGCAAACAAGCCCGTTCAGGGCGCCTGGCCCCTCTGTGAGCTCCACGCAGGCCACTCTCCACTGGCCCATCACCCCAGGGCTGGCAATTGGCAGCCCGCGGCAGGCGGGCGGCCCTTGGCCAGCCAGTGGCAGCCCCGGCCGCCACCCCTCACGTGCTGCCAGTCAGCCAACTCGAGCCCTCTGACCTGCCCCGCTCCTCCCTGGACAGCCTGGTGCTCCCAGTGGCCCCGCGGTGCGACCTGCGCAAGGCGAACTGGCTGTCCATGGCAGCATCTCTGGCTTCATCCTCGCCACCTGGAGCTAAGAGCCTACAAGTCAACCTGGTGGGATGTGCTCTCACCCAGCTCCGGTGGGCGTGGCCCCATGCTGGGCCACTCTGGTGGCATCCTGACTGCTGGGAACACAGCCCTGCCTGCCCAGCCCACTCTGGGTTGTTTCAGGGCAGGGTCTAGGGAAACCCTTCCAGGCCTCCGGCTGAGCCTCAGCACACCCCCAGTTTCTGGCTTCCATAGAGCCTCTATCCATGCTCTGGGGAACACCCACAGACTAGCCTGCCCCACCAAGCCCTGGACCCGATGTCTAAGACCCCTGCTCTGAGCCCCTCAGAACACACCCAGGTGCCTCCTCCAGGAAGCCTTCCTGGATCCTGCAATCTCTCTGTCCCGTTAGCAGTGTACCTGCCGCCTCTTGCCCTCAAGCACATGATCTATGGGCTACCTCCCTGGGGTCCCCGCATGTCTCCCCTGAGCTGTCAGCGGTGGGGTGTGTACATGCAGGGGCAGCCCCAGGGCCTAAGCCCTCAGAAGCAACTACCACATACCCTCGCCTCGCCACAGCCGCCACCTCAGTCCCCTCCTCACGCTTCTCCCTCCCGGGGAAGCCTGAGGCACTGTGCCCAGACCCCAGCACCATGACGTGACGAGTCGGGACAGGCAGGTATCAGAATAATATTTATTGAATGCTCAGTGCTACCTTGTTAATGCTGCGTCTCGGTGCCGCGTGGCTGAGGTAATTGGGGCGCCAGCCCGGGCCTGGCTCCTGCAGAGCCCACGGCCTGGGCCCACGGCTGCGCACCGGGGGCGACGTGGTTATTGCGTTGGACTCCCTCCTGCTCGCGGTCGCATGCTCGTGGTCACAGCTCCACGCTGCAACGTTCACGGGCACATGTGCTCGCCTGTGCGCCTGCACCCACGCTGCCACACGCACACACACCTGCTCACTCGCACCCCACCCTCTGCCACATGCACCACACGCTCACCCCACCTGTGCACGCCCACTCACACACACTGCCCTTTGCTTCAGACTCACCCTGTCTCCCGCGGGTGGCACGCACTCAGGCTCAGCGATCATAATAAAATAAAGGGGTGTCAGGCTGAGAGAGAAAGTGCATGGTGACCTCCGACCCGGGTGGGCCTCCGCCCCTGAGGGGAGAGCCCTGAGCACACGCCCCATGGCGTGGCGCTGCACGGCCTGTGCAGCCTCCAAGTCCTCTCTGCCCGACCGGCCCAACAGAATCCGCTAGAAAAATAAACTCTTCGTCTGCGGCCCAGATCCCACAGCGGGGCACTTGTCCGGGCTGGTGCGAGTGGGGCCGTTGTCAGGGGGCTCCCCTGCAGGCCGGAGGGGAGTGCTGAGCCCCGCGGCGTGCAGCAGGAGGCTGGGGGGATATGGACGGTGTGGGCAAAGCAGAGACCCTGTCCACGCGGGCCGGGGGTCAGCCAGGAGGCCGCTGGCCAGCCACACCACACTCGTGCAGGCCTCTGCAGCCTGAGCGTCCCTGACCCTCAGAACTCCACGGTACTCACAACCGTCCTGGGCTCATCAAAGGTGGCGATGAGGATCTGCTGAGGGGGGGGGATGGCGATGAGGTCGCCCATGTCCGGGGGCACACAGGCCCCCTCCTCCTCCTCCCGGGCCTCATACAGTGTGCTGATGTGCAGCAGAGGGTGGGTGGCGTTCCGGCTCAGGACAGCTATCGGGTCAGGCTTGCTCAGGCTGGCTGGTGACAGAGGGGCCGCAGAGGAGGGTGCAGGGGGTGAGCAGACATGAAATGGGCCCCCAGAGGGCAGCCCGGCTCGGGCCGGCTCTGCTGGGTACGAGGTTTCCTTCTCAGGGAGCGGAGCATCTGCAAACAGTTGAACACAGGGTCTCAGGCCTGTCCCCTGGGCTGTGGCCGGGCAGGGGACCAGGGGATCAAGAGTGCCAGCTGGCCCTCGGCCCAAGCTTGCTTTCTGCCTCCTGGGGCCCACCCTCCGCCCCGCATTAAGGCACCAGGCTGCTCAGGTACAGTGGGGTCAACTCTGAACCTCAGACGCCTCCCAGCCTGCACTCCTCGGGGCCGAGAGGGGGTGCCCCGTAGGCCCGGTCCTCTGGCCCTCCCGCCCCACAGGCTGGCTCCCTACCTTTGGTGGGTGCTGCGGCCAGGCCCCGCCCACACTCCTCGGCCTGGGACAGGAAGCCTCCCTCCTGGCTCCGGGAGGCAGGCAGGGCACTGGGCACCGCCTCGGGCTTGGCCTTCTTGGTGCCCAGGATGTAGGGGTGCACGTCCAGCGAGAAGTGGCGGGTGTGCTTCTTGTCGGGTGCGGGACCCGCGTCGCTCCCTGTGCCCTTGTAGTGGTGAGCAGCCCGGGCGCCAGCGTCCAGCAGGGGTGCGATGAGCGTGTCGGTGGCCGTCTTCCTGCGCACTGGCTTGGGCTTCTCGGCCTTGCTGTTCTCCACACGCATGATGGCCAGTGGCTCCTTGAAGGGCTGGGGCAGCGGGTTGCTGCTGGGGATCCACTTCATCTTCTTGCGCGGCCGCTTCACCACGGGTGGCTCGGCAGAGCCATCGGGCTCAGCGGGGTTGGCGCTGGGGTCCACGGTCTGGATGCCCGAGTCGCGAACGGTAGGCGTGGCGTCGTGGTTGGACTGGGCCAGCTCGGCCAGCAGCTGCCGCACCACGTTGTCGTACATGAGGTCGCTCTCGTTGGTGATGAAGTCCAGGCGGTTGAGCGACTTGATGTGGTCGCGGTTCTCGTTGCAGAACATGGCCAGGATGTTGATGTCGCAGAACTGGGAGCGGCGCCACTGCCGGCGTGTCTTGATGCCCACCTTGTGCAGCTTGTCGAAGATGAAGTTGCTCTTGCGGAAGATGAAGAGGTGGATGAGGTTGACGAGGATGATGAGGTTCATGAAGCACAGCAGCACGATGTCCACGCCCGCGATGATGCGCTGCAGCTGCACGGCTGGCAGCTTGCAGCTCACGCGCACGGCCAGGCCCCCCCCGGCTGGCCCGTCAGGGGCCGCGCCCAGCGCACACGTGAACTCGTTCTGCTTCTGGGTGGCGTAGTAGGTGCACAGGTAGGAGATGGGCACCACGCTCAGCAGCAGGATGAGCACGTGCCGCGCCAGGTACAGCTTGGCCAGGAAGTTGCTGCGGCCCCGGCGCTCCAGGTACTTCTCAAACAGGTTCTGCTCGGGGCTCTTCTCCTTCTCGGCGTTCTCGATGATCTCCCGCTTCTCCCGCTCCGTGATGCCGGGCCCCTTGGACTGGATCTGCTTCTCGATCTTCGGGGCCCGGCCTTCGGCCGCCCGGTGGTAACAGTTGTCGATCTCCTGCAGCAGGAAGTTGAGCTCGGAGGTGAGGCGGGTGGAGGCCAGGAACTCCCAGCCCAGGGCCGGCACGTACATGATAGCGGCGAAGGCCAGCAGCGCGTAGGGCAGGAACTTGTGCTCGAACAGCGATGGCCACAGGCTGGCGGGCCCGCCCGGGCGCGGATCCCGCCACCC